AGAAAACTTCCTTTACCAAAGCAGATTGGTCTTACAGATGTGACTACCTGCCCATGGTCACATGTCCAGTATGTATCAAGGGACAAGTACTTGAACCCTGGAATTCCTGACTATGAGGTAGCCTTTCTAGCTACTATACCACACTGCCTCTTAACAATTACATTATTGACACATATTATGCTCATTTTACACATAAGGAATCCAATGCTCCAAAAGCGCATGACACACTGCTAAGCACCTGAGAAAGGACAGGTCTTCCTGACTCCAGGTTTAATACTACTCCAATCCATTCCTCAACAATGAATGCTCCTTCTCTTCTCCTCCCAGTCTCTTCTTTAAGTCTGTTTTTTTTTTGAAAGAAAATTATTTAAATTTTACTACCAAAGCAAAAATTGAAAGAATGTACAGTTGTTAAAAATAAACTCGCATAAAGAATCGTAACTGACATTTAGATAGTACTGTTAAGCTTGTGAAGCATTTTACATACACGATTTTATTTAAGTCTCTCAACAACAGTGCAACAGATAGGCACTACAAGTACTATCCCTATTTTGCAGTCGAGGAAACTGAATCAGTAAGTTTATATTTTGTGCCCACGGTCACATAGCTAGGTAATATTCAGAGGCAAGATTCAAACCCACATTTGATTGAACTAAGTTCAAATCTAGCACTATATTCATCTTTTGCTTATATAATATATAACAGGCTATATGAGTAATCAAAATCCACAAAAAAATCCCAAACTTTCTGTTTAGTTATTAGTTTCAATCATTTCTACTAAATCTTTTGGAGGAATTCCTGACAAGTAGCAATTAACTTATTTGACTTTTTTCAACTCTCACTGCTCATCTCCTTCCCCATCCTCCCAATAATAACTAAGTTAAATGATCAGTACGAAGAAAAATAGAAAGACTGACAAATGATTCAAAAAATGCATACCTAGAATATTGTTATGATATGAACAGTCATTAAAATTTTCATTGAGTCCAAAAGTCCATAGCACTCTTAGCAAATATAACAATCAAACCTTACTCTAAGCTCCTTACAAATTAATTCTTATCTATTCATCCTTAAAACTTCTCCCTTAGTTTCTATTTATAGATAATTATTGTTTGTTTTCCATCGTATTTTATGTTCTGAGCCTCAAAAGTGGGACAGAAATATTGAGCAAGCAACATGAGGATTTTTAAATCCAGTTCTAGTAAGTGAACAAAGGTAAGAAGGTAAGTTACCCAATTCAATGAAATATTAATCAAATGCCTACTATATGCAGGGAGATGAGAGTAAGTGGGATGCAATCATTAGATCAGGAACTATATTATTATCCTCTTACATTTACTATCCTCTTAAGCTTATTCTGTTCTAGCAAAGAGAAATGAAAAGACTGCTAGTTATTGGTATAAGAGTGGGAAAGAGAAAAATTACAAGACCTAAAGATAATAGTTCAAGTAACGTGTTGATCAACTCTCCTGAGTTACAAGCCCCTGCCTATTACCAGGTCTGTCTTTGGCACTGTGCCCCTAAGTTCCTGGCCATCTAAGGAGACAAAAAAAGATACAAGGCTTTTGATATGATCAATGAGGACTATATGGAAGATAATAAAAGCAAGAAGCAAAGATACCACAACAGAACTAGTATTGTATCCATTTCCAAAGACACTTGGTAGTAGTCACGAGTATCTCTGGAAAGATTCACAGGAGAACAAAAATGAATAGCTTTTATATTTAAAAAAATAAAACAAAACTTAAAAAGGAAGATTACCTCTTCAGTCATATTTTCTTTTTTTTTTTTAAATTTAAGAATTACTGTCCTATATCCTCCTCCCTTTCTCCACAGCCTCATACACTAGAATGAAATGCTGTTGTATAGACGAACAAGGGTACAATCCAAAAATACAAAATAAAAAATTGTACTGGCTAAAACAACAATCTTTGGGTTAACACCATTTCTTTGACTGTCATTACTAGTCTCACACACACACACACACACACACACACACACACACACACACCCATATAAGAGGCAAATATTCTCCTTTCCTCTCCAAAGGGTATCTGCTTTGATATTTTTTTCTACTAACTGTACTTTAAATACAAGACTAAATGTTAAATTTCATAGTTCAATGGCTTAATGATGCTGATAAAGTTGAATATGGTGTACGTGTTTAAGGCTGTGGTAAACAAAGCATCTTGATTTGGGGAGACAAAGATGGAACTATGGAGAAATGTGGGGTGCCTAAGAACAGTGCTCACTAAGTAAAAATAGTGGTATGTTATATTTAAAGTTCTAAAGACTTAAATTATTTGTCTTGACAAGTGGTATAGTCACAGAAGCAACTTTTGAAATGGCAAATTTCCTAAAATTCATGTATAATTTTAAAGAAATAAGAGTAAAGATTGGCAGCATCTCAGTCTGAGTGCTTTTAATCTTTAAGTCCAGGCAAATAAGTCAGCCAAAAGGAACATTTAATACCTTTGTCTTACTTAGCTCCTGCCAATTCAGAGAGTAAATACTCCTTTCAAGCAGGAATCTGACAACAAAATAAGAACATAAAAAAGTTCAGGGGAAAAAAATGAACAGTTTAAAATTTTCAACTTCCTGCACACTCAAAGTAAAAATACTGAGGCTCTAGATTTCCCTAGAACTTAACATATCTATTATTATATACTACACACCATTCTCTACACATCAGGCTCTCAAATTATTAAAGTCATGGTAATTCAAATACTAGCTCAATTTCAATGCTAAATTATGGTCAATTTTATGAATTATTTTGTGAATTAATAATAATGCAGCAGATTTAAAGGTCATTGGACTGTTAAGCAACTTTTCAATAATAAGAGAAAAAAGAACTTGTGTGCCTTTGGATAAACTGCTGCGTAAGAATAAAAAAATGGTTCAGTCAATAATAGTCACTGAAACAGCAGACTAACAATTTCAGTTCTCTCAGATGACATATAGAGTAACAGTACTTTATCCCACTTACTCTGGAGGCAGTGAGGGTAGTGGATGGATAGAGAACTTGGGTACAAGTATGGCCTCTGACACACAGTAGGTGCTGGGCAAGTCTCTTAATCCCTCTCTACTACATGTAATGTGTAGAAAGTGCTGATTTGTATTGGTATATGGGGTTGGTCCTTCCAGGGGTGGGTAACCTGTGGCCTTCTAGGTCCTGAAGTGGGGCCCTTTAATTGAATCCAAACTTCAAAGAACAAATCCTTTTATTAAGGTTTATTTATTCTGTGAATGAAATCACACATCCAGGTCCAGTCCCAGTCTCTGGAGGCAACAATTAAATCAGACTCAGAATACACAAACGGTAGCCAGTGTATGAAAAGCACTGGTCTAAGATTCTAGAAACCTGGGTACTGGTTCTAGTTCAGTCACTTACCAGCAGAACAACTTTGAATAAGTCACTTAAACTTGCTGAAGATGTAAAAGGAATAAGCTGAAATCCTATAGCTAACACTCCCTCCAAATCTAAAGTTTTATGATTCTGAAATTCCGTAACTTAAAATAATTGTTTGAAGGGCACCAGCTTAGTTTAATTTAAATATATATATTAACACTGGACTGGAATTCAAAAGACCTTGGTTCGAATTCTCCCTGCTACTTACTAGCTGGATGACTCTGGGCAAGCAACTTAGCCTCTGTTTAGTTAGTTGTAAAATGGATATGATATTTGTACTGTCTCTCTAATGGGGTTATCATGAGGATGAAATGAGGTAATATGTGTAAAACCCTTCACAAAAATAAACAAAATTCATATAAACAAGAGATTATTATAAGACTACATGAAAACAATACTAAATGGTAAACCGAATGGTACATGTCCATTTCCTTATACTGCCTCCCCACCCCCAAGACGCTTAAGTTAAGGTCTAGTGAAAATCTGAGGAAGACTAAATTCTACATTAACATTTCTGAGAACGTGGAGAAAAACTGGGCTCTATTGCTTTTCCGCAATTCTCTGCCAATACCTTTCTGTTCCTCTATTAGCCCCTTCCCGATTCCCCCAAATATCAAAATAACAAAATCACATCACTTCAGTAATTCAAAAATATAGGAGTTCACTCCAAATCTCCCTCTACCTTCTACCAAAGGATCCACAGTGTAGTGGACGGTCTCCCTGAGCTGTGGTGGTTTTAAAGTCATTAGTTGATGACTAAACGTCTGGTGATGACCCTCTCTAAAATTAGCTAGTCTAATTGTTGGATTACAATGATAATTCTCAATTCTACAGAACTTTAAGGCTTAAAAGATTGTCACTGACATCAAGATCCTAATAACGATCACATTGCTCTCCTCGAAATGACCAATATCTGTCTGGCTGAGGCACTCACGATTTGCCCAATGCTAACCTAGATGACAACTTCTAGAATTTTAAATACTTCTTTAAAATAGCTAACAACAGCTTACAAAATCCACCAAAATTCTTCCGGTTTTAGCCCTTATGCAGATCGCAGAGGTGAACTAACTCCTCGGGCTTAGTTCTAACAAAGTAGCTGTCAACCGTCAAGTGCAGGGCGCGGAAAGGAAAAGAACCTGCAGCTGCAACATAGTAGCCACTCAAAGGGCGACACCAGGGCAAGGGGCTCCGAGGTCACTTAAATGTAACAGTTGCAATCATAACAATAACAACAGTAACAGCAGCGATGCCCTGCGGAGCTTTGGGGGCGCCCGGAGCTTCTCGGCCCGCCGGTCTCCCCACTCTCCCCGGTTCCAGCCCCGGGCCGTGCGTGACCTCTGCCCCAGTCGCCGGCCCAGCCCCGGGCGGCTACAGCGCGGGGGCTCCCGCCCGGGAAAGGGCTCGTGCTCCTCGTCCCGTCCCGTCCCGTCCCGTCCGGTCCGGTCCCTCCCGCCGGGCTCGGGCCGCTCGCGGACAGTCTCCCTCGGCCCGCGGCACGGTGCAGGGAGGACCAGGCGGAGAAGCCGCTGGCCCGAGCTGGCCGCCCGCCCGCCTGCCCTGCCTCGCGAGGCCCGCAGCTGTCGCCTCTCACCTGAGCGGCTCCTGCGCTTCTCCCGGTGCCGGTCACTCTCGTAGAAGCCCAGGGTCTCGGTGAGCTGAGGCGGCGGGGGCCCGTTGACGCCGCCGCTGCCGCTGCTGCCGCCGCCGGGGCCCGAGGAAAAGCGGAGGCTGCTGCCGCTGCCGGGGCCGGGGCCGCCTCCGGCCGGCGGCTGCTCCACCTCGCCGCGGTTGTCCCGGTCCTTGCCGTCCCTGCCGCCGCCCGGGATGGCTGCGGCGCCGGCGGCCGTGTCGCCGACACCCGCCATGTTCGCCGCCTGAACACAACAAACTGTTCCCGACACCTCCTCCTCCTCCTCCTCCTCCTCCTCCTCCCTCTCCTCCTCCCCTCCCTCTTCTCCCCTTCTCCTCCTCCTCCTCCCCCCCGCCCTTCACTCCTGCCCGAGTCCCCCCGCCCTCACCCGAGGAGCCTTCTCCTTCGGGCGCCGCGGGCGCGAGCCTTTGGCGTCAACGGTCGCGCGACCCGACGCCTGCGCGTAGGAAGCCCTGGTCGCCGCAGCCGCCATTTTGTTCCGGGAGCGTCGCGCGATCCGCGGTGTTCTTTGCGTCCGGGCTTCTCTTCTTTCGAAAGCCTCCCTAGAGGATTAGGAAGAAGATCCGAAGTTTGTGGAAATGGAGTCGAGGAAGGGGCTCAGACTTTGGTCGGTGGCCCTTGAGGGGGACGTGAGCAAAGCGCGACCCCGGGGCAAGCGAGGAGCCGCCTCGTCCCGACAGATCCTAGCCTGACAGATCCCACGCTCGGCTGAGCGCTCGGGAGAAGCCTCTCGAGGGTGGCTCGTGCCTCTGTCAGGCCTCCATCGACGTCCCCGCCCCCAGAGCCCTGTCTCCCCGCCGCAGGTGCCACCTTGCCTGATGATGCAGGTCCATTTAGAGTTGGAGATCTTCAATCAGTCAGTCAGCAAACGCTTATTAAATAGGCTGTGTGACAGGCTCGGCTAGGCGCTCCAGGACACAAACATAAAACAGCCCCTGCCTTCCAGGAGCCTACTCTACAGATAAGGAAAGAGGTTTCCCAAGAGGTGAAGTGACTTTATCTAAAAACCAACCACGTAGGAAGTAACAGATACTGGATTTAAGTTTTAGTCTTTTAAACACTGGAATGACCGGGAGCGTTCTTGGAGGTGTCTTTAAATTAAATTTAGGATTTTCGTGATTTCTTAGAAATATTGTTAAGTTTTGGTCTTTCTACTCTTCAGCACCCAACTGCAGCATTCCTACCTGGGCAGCTTGGTGGATAGAGTAGTGGGGCTGGCCTTAGGAAGACAAGAGTTCAAATGTGACCTCAAGACACTAGCTGTGTGACCTTGGGCAAGTCATTTAACCCCTGCCTCAGTTTCCTCATCTGTAAAATGGGGATGATAGACCTATCTTTCAGCTATTGTGAAGATCAACTGAGATAATATTTATAAAGCACTTTGCAAGGTAGCTGGCCATCAGTAGGTGTTATATAAATATTAGCTATTATTTTAGTCAAGACTTGAAATCCTTCATTGATTCCCTAGAGACAGCTAGCTGAAGTAGATAGATTTTAAATCCAGCTTCGACTTCCTAGCTGTGTAACTTAACTTTAACCACTTAAGTCACTTAACCTCTGTTTGTCTCAGTTTTTTCAATTGCAAAGTACCCACCCACTAGGGTTGATTAAATGAGATTATAATTGTAAAGCACTATAAGTGCTTGGCGCATAGGAAGGCTATATAAATTTTAGCTATTATCCTATAGCACATTGCCCTTTGAAAACATAGCAAGACCCAACCCCATACCACAGAAAAGACGGGAATCTTAACCCAGATCACTTTAAATCTGCCTGGGGTACCTACATTGCATTTAGTTATGCATCTATGTGTCTAATCTATATTAAAAAGTCAGCTTCTTGAGGTCAGGAGTAGGCTTAGGCTTTTGTATCACAATATTATAGCTGGAATTACAAGCCATTTCATTTTATATGAGGAAACAAGCCTAGACAAGAGAAGGGACTTGCTCAAGGTTATAGTGACAAAGCTGAAGTCTGATTCTGAAGTTTTCTAATTCAAGGCCAAAGCACTTTACATTGTATCACGATTGGTGTGCTGATGGATTATTTGCTGTAGTTCAATGCCCTCATCCAAGGACAAGTCATGGTAAAGTGCACAAGCTGGCAGGAAGTCTTCTCGCTGTAGGTTCTCTATGCTATCTAACTTTTTGAGTAGTAGGTTGACAAAGCACAGTCACAACCTCACCTTCTTAGAAATACCCAGCAACTTTATCCAAAAACGACACCATCTACCAGGATAGGATAGGGATTGGAAGTGTTTCTTAAGTCACAGTTTTTGGAAGTTCAGTACTTGCCAATGTATCAATAATTTGTGTTTTAACCAACACATAAAGAGATATAAGGGTACAAGCAAATATGAAGGATAGCCAGAACTTGTAGAAATTAAAGATTGTATACCTCGTAAGTAAAATTGAAGAATGTTAGAGTTCGCCTAGAAAGGAGGCAAATAAAAAGGTACAGTATTCTGGAGCCATTTATAGCAGGGGCAAAAAACCTTAAATGCCTTATTAGGCTTCACTGCACATATAGCAAAATATAGAAACAGTAATGATAAGTTCAGTAAAAGATAAGTAAAGCCCATTATAGTCTTTAAGTAGGAAAGTATGCAGTGGTTTAGAGCAATTTCCGTTAAAAAGAAAAATAAAAGGGGTTGTTTTGGCAGGGTAGGGTAAGCCTTTACCTATTCAGAAAATTTAAGAATTTCTTGGTCCCCAGTCATTCTACATGTTGTACTACATTTTTATATTCAGAATAATGGGAAGAATTTTTTTTAAGACTAAAGATAGTACCTTCAATGACTAGCTTCCTGCATATTTTTAGAATTAGATAGTTTATTTAGATCTTGTAGGGAACTTAGAGGTCATCCAGAGCAATTCCCTCATTTTACATAGGAAAACACTGAACATGTTAGAGCATTGAGTCATATCTAATAAAGTCAACTTTAAAGGGATAAATGGAAGACACACTTGAATGCAAAAAAAAAAAAATCAGCTCCATAAGCATAATATGGAAACATGGAGAACAATTCTGAAAGGCATCTGGGGGTTTGAGTGGACTGTAAGCTCAAGTGAGTCAGCAGTGTAATATGGCAGCCAAAAAAAACTATGATCTTGGAGCCTCACTTCCAGGAACAGGGAGGTGATAATTGCACTGTATTCTGCCCTCTTCAGATGTCATCTGGAATATTTTGAGTTCTGAGTGCTGTGGTTTAGTAGGAATATCGATAAACTTGATAGTGGCCGGAAGAGGGCAATCAGCATCAATCGGTAAACATTAAGTGCCTACTAAGTGCTGGGAATACAAAGAAAGGCATAAAATAGTCCTTGCTTTCAAGGAGATCATAGTTTAATCCAGGAAGACAATACAAAAAGAAGCTGGGGGCCAAGTGGGGGGGGGGCAGAATGTAGAGAGAGGTTACTCAGCTCCAGGGCATGAAGAAGGGCTGCGCCTTGGGTGGGCAACGACATGAGTAGGTGAAAGTTTCTGAAGTGATTTCATCTTGTAGAATGATGAGTTTCTGGAGATCATGAAGCCCAGGAAACAAGTGGGTGGGAAATGACAAGGTGAATTCCTAGGTGCCCTCCTTAAGTGGTGGAGGATGTGGGAGGAGTGCCTATCCACCTTCTCCAATGGGAGGGAGAGAGAGGTCCCAGGGGCCAGAGGTACTGAGGAAGTGTGAGTTTGGGAGTAAGGTAAAAGACCTTGAGTTTATGACATAAGGATTGGTTGAAATAACTGGGTAGCTTAAAAAAAAGACGGTGACATGGTAGCTGTGTTCAGGTATTTGAAAGACCATTGTGTGGTGGAAGGAAAGGTTAGTTTTGTTTGGCCCTAGAGAACCAGGAGCAATAGGTGGAATAAAAAGAAAACAGTTTAGTCTTGATGCTTCCTAAAACTCAGAGCTGTCCTAAAGTAGAATGGCTTTTCCAAGAAGTAGTGGATTCCTCCTCCTTGGAGGTTTTCAGATAGGCTGAATAATTACTTGTCAGATGCATTGTAGTTTCATAATTTGACCTGGATGGCTACTCAGCACCTTCCAATTCTGAAATGTTGTGAAACTGGTTAAGAGGTGAAGAGACTTCCTCTAGATCACAGGGCTAAGTATAGAACTGAAATAATTGGTGAGGTTGGCTTCTTTCTAGTCAGCTCTTTCCATTTGTATACAGGCAGCTAGATGGCACAATGGATAATGTGGAACTTGGAGTCAGGAAAACCTGATTTCCAATTCTACCTCAAACATGTATTTGCTGTGACCCTAGATAAGTCACTTAACTTCTGTATATCTCAGTTTTCTCATCTGTAAAATGAGGCAATAGCACCTACCTCACAGGATTGTTGTAAGGATCAAATTTATTAATGTATACATAGTGCTTTGCAAACCTGAAAGCACTATATAAATGCTAACTATTAAAAGTTACTGGTCCTCAAAGGCCCTAAAACTTCTATCCTTTTTGTATGCAGAATAAGATTATGCCTTCACACTCCACAGGAGACTGAGAGAACCACAAGTGAATTCCCTTTTAGGATGATAGGAACGAAGATTCGAAGTTAATCCATTTCAGTCGCTTGTAGATATGCATACTCCCCAGAAGTTGTGACTTGCTCAAGGTCATAATCCAGTAAATAGAGCAAGGATTTGTCATCAGATCTTCTAACTTCAGATCCAGTGTTTGTCATATGCCATGTTATAGGCAAAAGCAGCTTATTTTTAGTGCCTCTATGAAGAGATGTGACATATTACCTTGATTAAAGGTTCTTCCTCCCAGGCACATGCCAAAGCCATAAAAGTTCCTTGAAAGAACAACAGAAGTAACTTTTAAAAAATACATTAGGCAACAAAGAATCAGAAACAGTTGATCTCAGTGTTCCATAAATCTGAAAACAAATTACCTGGAGAAGAACTGGAAAACTATCTGGTGAAAATTAGGTTTACAACAACTTATACCATAAAACAATAGATTCCAAATGGACATGTAACCTGGATATTAAACATCATATCATAAAAAAATTAGAAGAGACCCAGATTAGATACCTTTCACAGTTATGGCTTGAGGATTAACAAAACAAATAACAGAGGTAATCACAAAACTAAATTTGATAATATAATAATAGTAAGTGCTTAATAAAATCTTTATTCATTCATTCAAAAGAACTTTCCTGGAATCTCTTTGCCCCCCAGACATACCATCCTGTACTCCCACTATCTATCATGCT